GCCGCAATTTCGTTTGTGCTTATTAATGAATGTTGTTATGTCTGGTCAGGGTTTGGCCATTTCCCCCAGGCCCGTCCAACCAATTTGTTGTGCCTTTCCCTTATTTATTACATTTGCCTTGTTGAGGTCAGTATTTGTTCGACTGCGTCTGGAGCGCGGCCCCGCCCTCATTCTATTTGAGTCCCATAAAAGCTAACAGCCCCGGGCATTAAGTGTGTTCTCATTTGGTCCCTAGCCCTGAGCCTTAATTAATATGAATTAATTTAAGTGTTAATTGCAAGTGGTGGGGAATGGTTTACGCTCTCAATGCATGTGAAAGACTTCTGTCTGGTCCTTTACTTACACGTAATGAAAGTGTTGGCACCGCGAGAAAAAAGTCTACAAGTACTTTGAAGATAGTAAGGAGAAAAAAATAATTTCATCTACATTCGAGAGCATTAAACTACAAACTTTTGCCCTTAAAGTCAAATCCTACAGGGAAAATATAAAAACGAACTCCTAAAACATCAATCAACTTCAGCAACAAAAGCCCACAATTAGGAATTTCTTACCATATTACAAGTAATTAGCTTAGTTTGGAGTACGATTTGAACATTATTCAGCAAAAAGCGGCCCAAGTAATTTAGTTAATGACTTAATTAGACAATTACTCAACTTTGCTTATGGCTAACAAATGGAAATCCCAGTAAGAGTGAATTCGTTTGGCAGTGCACAAATGCCATTATTCGAACCAAGCGTATCGATGGTCAGATCTTTTCACTTACAAAGAAGTGAAAAAAGTGTGGGCCAGATTATCAGGGACGGTTTTTTGCTCTTCTCCACAGTAATTAATATTAAGTATACGTCGTGTTTGACAGCTTTCAGTTGTTATCTGGCTAAAGAGCCTCGAAAACGTCACGTAGATAAATAGAGCCACTAAGACCCGCCGTCAAAGAGCAGCTAAATCAAATTTTGCCCGCAAGATTTTTAGTTTATTTTCGGTTTTTTTTGGGTTTGTTTTTTTTTTTTTTTTTTTATTTATTTCGCCTATCTGGTCTCTTGAAGGCCAACAACAAGGTGGACAAGAGTAAATAATAAATAAATATTTGGGAAACGTTTCGCTAACAGGACACGTACTGGGAATTAACCAGGGAAAGAGGACAGGGGTGTGTTTAGATGAGGTTTCTGGTGGAACGGAAGCATCTGGCTGTGGCCACGACGTGCCCAAGTCTTTGTTGACTAAAGCTTAGACGCGGCCGAAAAACTTTTGGCTGGCTGGCCATTAAAGTTTAAAGATGAAGGCGACAGCTTGCAAAACCGCAGAGGATTTGACCCCGGCGAATATAATCCATCCATCCGGGCCCCCATTCCTAAGATACTTTTAAACGATTTTGCCCAGTAACCGCAGTCGGGGGGGTTTTTCGGGCCAGCGGTTCTCGACGAAGCCCGCATAGATTTACAATCAGCTGCTGTTTGGTGGCCCTCTCTGCCACAAATCATAAAAACGCATCCACACACGAACATATGTTCGTGTTAGTTCATCATGCGCCCTCCTGCGGCCATTTGGCCTGCGTATACGTGATATTTTATGGGTCACTCGCCTCGCCGTCGACCCTAAATCCCAGGGCTGTCCTGTGAGCCGATTTCCAACAAAGCTCGCACTTCGTATTCCGCTGAGGCCGTAAAAATAACCGCTCCTTGTGTCTTTTTTCCCCTGGGAAAACGGGAACGTCGTGTGAGTCGTGTAAGTGTAATTCTAGCTCAAACTGTATCTCATTACATTTGATTTACAGATAATCAGAGCTCGTAGATGGCGGCTCTTTTCTTAAACACTTTCTCTTGACGGCACTTGGGTGGCGGGGTATTCGATCTTGATTACTTTCCTCCTTCAGGCATTGAAAGTTTGAGTTTGCTCACGACGCCAACAAGTTGTTAAGAACTTAAATACTGATAGTTTTGCACGGAAAGTAAAATAGATAAATAAAAGAAAATAAATAAATAAATAAAAATATAGATATTATAATATATATATATTAAATTATATTATAAAATAAAGTAAGCCTTTTTTTCTAGTCCCATAAAGTAAAAATTTCTGTGCTAATAAATGAGTTCGCCCTCTTATAAAAATATTTTGCTGGATTTTCATTTTATTTTCATAGTCTAGACTAATAATTTTTATATGATTCGCCGTGTTATTGAATTAAAAAATGTTTACTGTTTTACTTTCTTAACTTGTTTGCACACATAAAACGTCAAATGAAGATTAAATAAATATTCATCCAATATTACAAATACGCAAAACTATGAAAGTGCATCCTAAATGTCAAAATATTCCCCAGTGAGTTTACTGCACTCTGACACAGACACCATAAAATTGCATAAAGGAACAATTCAATTAACCGAAATGGCAAACGTTTTTACACATCGTTAAATGCCCAAATGCACAGAATTGCATTTTCCAAAACGATGTCAAAAAAATGTTGTGAATGCAATTTATACCCAGGGGTCTCATATTTGGGTGGCACTCTGACAAAAAGAAAACCTCCGCTCAGTTGACCCGGAAATGGCCAGAAAAAAGGTGTAACCACCCACAGCAAACAAATGCATGTACGAGTGGCAGTCAAGTGTCCAGCAAATTTGCACAGCTTTTCGAATCTGAAATTTCATATGCATCTGTTTGGGGCACACAAACGAAAGCCAACGATGAATGTATGATTTATTTTCAAGTCCGGCAGTCTGAGGAGAAATGCCTGTGTAACGTTTACCAGAAAACATTCAATTAAATATTACCAAGCGGTTTTTTTCTATCCAAGATTGCAGAATGTTCGCGCTCAAAAGAACACGAGCTGAAAGCCAAACATTACACGAAAATTGTGTGTAAAATTAAAAAAAGGAATGAGAGCAATGATGTTGGAAATAAATTGAGCAAAATGGTGGCAGCTACTTAAGTGAAAATATTTTTGCGCTTGTAATAACTTGGCTGCTCTAACCACAGTCTGGGCCTGGCCAAAAGGAGAGCCGAAAAGCGCAACACGAAAGGCGCTTAAGTGCTGTGGTTTTCGTCTAGAGATGGGTTAAGAAAACCCATCAATCTGTGAAAATCACCTTAGCTTAAGTTCATAAAAAGTTTGAGAGATTTTCATCAGGTTATTTGATTTTTCTGCACAATTAAATCAATAAATGGGAATTAGTTTGGTGTCTCTAAGTAATAGTTAAAACATTAAATAACTGAAATCCTATTTTTATTTGTAAAACATTTTTCTGAATCTTGTTGAATACTCTGAAAGTTAAAAATACAATATTTATATTTATTTTTTTTTGTGTAAATTATTTTTCATTAAATTGTTTTAATATTCGTGAGTGGAATTTTTTACGTGGCACCATCTCTAGGCAGGCCTTTTAGATCTCGACTGCATTCATACGTTTTCGATTAAGCCCGTTCTTGGTCTACTTTGCCGAAAACGGAAGGCGGAAATTTACACAAAGAAAGGATGTAGCACACGACCGGCTGTAAGACGGAATCGCAGCTGTAGAGCTGCAGCCACGGCCAATGCCCAAAGTGGGCTAAAATTGTAGCACGAGTATGACTGACAGGCCATTAATTTTGGATTACCCGAGCAGGACCACCGCCACGGGGCTCTCTGCTCCAGCCAAAAGCCGTCGACAGGAGGCCGCCAACAAAAACTGCATACTATTTATATGTACATACATATTTATATATACTTGCAGACGAGGCTGTTAAGCATTTCATAATGCCTCGACACACTTTTCGGCCGCTCCCTGGTTCGGTGGTCGTTAACGTTAATGACAACTTAAGTGGTAATGTATAATTTCTGTAAATTATTGCCTACCTATGCAACAAACTAGTAACAATAAAGTGGCCGAAACAGAAAAAGGGATTGGTAAAATGTTTAAGCAGATTGAAGCTTTAATTTTAAGACAGCTCAAGTGTTTTAAATTAATACAATTCAATAACTATTCAATAGTTAGCCAATAGGTAATACAATATTTTATATAAGCCAAAAAATACAAATTCGTAATTTAAAACATGAAGAATAGAGAGAAGAAAATACAATTTGGAGTGTTAATGTTTTTGCTGTAATTTTAAGCTTTTACTAAAATATTAATTTCGATTGGGATCTTTTTTTTGTGTATTCAGAGACCTTACCCTACCACTTACATTAATTAAACACTCAAATCTCAAGTTGTAAATCTCTGACCTTTGTGGCGACTGTGACAAAATAATAACACTGGCCATGCCAAAACAATAGCGACGACAAATCTAATTACATCACAAGCCTTTTAAGGGCTTACAAGCCAAAAAAACGTAAAGTTTTCATGTCGACAGCAGTGAAACTGCCGACTCAGACACTTTTCAACAAGATGTCCCCTACCCACCGAAGCACCCAAGAAGCGCCACCCAAAAGATGTCGAGACCCAAATTCAATTAATGTAATTCAGTTGAACATGGAAACTAATTTGGCCACCTTTGGCTGGCTGGAAAATAAGATTGCGACAAATTAAGTAATGAATGCTGCCGACGCAGGAATCCACAGATAGGGCTCAAAAGTAAACTTTCGGCCAAGTTAGCAGGATGTTTCGGCTTAAACCCTTTCCCAACTACTTGGGTGCGACATGAAAGTAAATCATGTTCATCAACTTAAATATTAAAGTGAACGCTGTGCATATACGCATAAGTCAAACAGTGTAAATGTACAAATCTCGAGGCATAAATCACAATTTCTTTGCCATTAAGACGAGACCGCAAAGATTTGCGGCTCCGCTGAGTTCAGTGATGGTGGTGAGGGGAATCTGCCACAGTTTGGTGCCGAGCCCCAGCTGCGATTGTGGCTTATATATTTCCGACTCGAAATTTAGCCAACAAAAAAGAAAGTTACAAACTAAGGACTTCCTTAACTTACCAGCTTAATGGCCATAAAACTTCCAGGATTACAATGAGAGATACTCAAGCATCGAAACCATTTATGGTCCTATAATTATCACTGAGTTATTTATAAAAATTACAACTTAAAAATTACTATTTATTCTCTATTAATAGTAATCATAATCAATTAGTATAAAATCATAAAATTTATCTTATGACTTGCAGGCCATGTCTTCGCCCATTTTAATCCCCTTTTTGATGTTCTCCTTTAAGATTGGTAGCATACACTCCAGGGACTCCTGCTCCTTGTCGTCCATTTCCGGCAGTCCCAGATTCTCCTCGATGCCCTGGGGACCCAGAATGAGCGGGGTGGCGAAAAAGCAGGCCTCGGTGACATCCGATTCCACATAGGCGCACTCCACAATGCATTCGCCATCCGAGCCTTTGATGCCCTTGATCAGTGAGTTGACGAAGTTTGAGGCGGCATATGCCATCGATAGGGTGGCCGATCCCTGGCCATTCTTAGCATTGACCACCTCGGTTCCGGCCTCCTGGATGCGATGGATAAGGGCATCGCGCTCCTCGTCGCTTCCCTTGTAAGGTGGCTTGCACTGGGAAAGGATGGGAAGAATAGTCGTTCCTGTGTGGCCACCGATCACAGGTATTTCCACAGTCTGCGGATTGACATTCAGGATATCCCCGATGAAGGTCTTGGATCGCACCACATCCAGGGTAGTGACGCCAAAAAGTCGGTTCGGATCGTAGGTTCCCTTGGCCTTGAGTATCGTGGCCACAATCGGAACGATCACGTTGATGGGATTCGTGATGAAGGCCAGAAAGGCGGCGGGGCAAACGGCACTGGCTGCATATGCCACCTCGCAAGCCACGCTCGCATTCACGTCCACCAAATCTTCGCGTTTCATTCCCGGTTTGCGGGGTAAGCCCGCCGGAATCACTACAATATCCGCCTTGTCCATTGCCTTCTTCAAACCATCCTTTCCCTCGAATGAGCAGACCATGGCCGGGGTATTAATGTGCGACAAATCGACCACAACTCCGGACGTGTTCTTTAAATCGTGCAATGCGAGCATCGAGATGTGCGGATTTTGCTTGAGGAGGAGGGACAGTGGCTGCCCGATGCCACCCGCCGCACCCACAACCGCGACCTTGAGACCGCGCCTACTGACACCGCATCCAAAAATGAAGGCCTTTGCGGAAGTTCCAGTCACTTGGCTCAATAATCGAAGAGGCAGCATTCTCAGGCAATCAGATAATATCTTTCTACGAAATAATTTTCAAATGTATGTTTTCGTTACTGATCGAAAAACGATGAATGGTTTTTCAAGCAAAGGAATGAAAAAGCACAGGGAACTAGATTTGGAAGGTATAATTTATTGTGTATCAAAAAACTAAAAATTTATAATTTTGATAAAATTTAAAAAAATTCAAAAACAAATAGAAAAATAATTGTGAATTGTAATAACTATTTCTTTTATTTTTATTTATATTTTTAATATTAAATGCAGCTTGGAAAACCAAAAGGAAGTAAAGGGATAACTTAACTTAAACATTACCAAAGCTTGTGGTGATCTTTAAATTCATTTGGTTTTATTTCTGTTTAAATGGCCGCAAATAAATTCCTGTCGAAATATTTCTTTGGGCCAGCTTATATCTTCGGGCAGTAAATTACATTTGCACTGAGACGCTCTCTGCTCGACCTGCTAACAAATTGCTTGGCCATCTTTGGCCCCCTCCCGGAAAAACCGAACATCCTTCCTATATGTGGCCCCCAAAAGTAGGCAGCAATTTTCTTCACTTTATTTCACACTCGCCCCGTAAAAACGAAAAACACATTGGGTGTGTCCATTTTATCTTGTTGTCCTCCTACCAGAAAAAGAAAACAAGTGGGTGGCTGTAGCCAAACTTTCTTGCGACCCAGTTTCACTTTCACCAGAAGTTCACCTGGCCAAGTTTTAGTTGGAGCGAGTGTGTGTGAGTAATTCCACTATTGCGGCTGCATTTGTTGCTGCCACACGGGCTGACAACAAGATAAATTAAGCCGAGGCATTTCAGACAAAACATGTTGGCCAGTGGGCCACCTACTAACAGAAGCCAGCAAATGTATTTCCAAATAACGAAACACGGGTCCACAAAAGGTGTCTCAGCTAAGTGGCTTTCCAAGTCATTACGTTGGGAAATTGTGTGGCATTTAATGAAAAAAAAAAATCCTGTACGAGTATTCCATTCAATTTGTAACTGAAAACTATGCAATGTTTTGATTTTGCCAAAGCATCATCATGTATGTAATGTTTTATTCAATTTTCCTCGATTTTAATGAAAATTGTTTTCCATACATTTACTGTACTTGTTTTGTCTGCAACATTTTTTCCTGGTTCCTCATAAATTTTCGTTTTGTGGCCTCCGGGCAATTTGTTGGCATTTTGTGGCCATATATTTCATATGCAACACTTGCCGTTTATGGGTTAACTAATTGCAGGAAAAATCTAAGCCCCATCAGCAAACAATTTTTGACCGAACTACTTTCCTCGAATTGCGAAGTTTTTTTATTTCTGATTTTGCTTCTGCTGCTGCTTTCTGTTTATTTGGACACAAACTTTTTGTGGGTCATGCCGAGTGTTTACCTGAACATTGCAAAACTTTATTTATTAGCCAAAGTCATTTGGAGCCGGGTCCTTTTACGCTGTTGATCTTTCGGAAATATTAAAAAAGTTGCCAAGTAGCCAAATCATAATACTAGAGCTTGGCTTTTTATTGGTGAATTTCGGTTGGCTTTTAGTTTATCTAAAAAAAATTGTTTTGCAAATGCAAAAAAAGAATTTCCTTTTCGTTATTTCTAATTAATGAAATTCTTGTGGTTTAAGCTCTTCCACTTTTTAAACATATGTTTTTTCAACGAAAGATTTATATGGTGCATCCGCTTCTGGACAAATACGAACCCAAAATACGAATCAGACCAGACTCGCTTCACGCTTATCAAAACAAATAAATTCCTCCGGCTAAATGCGCTCATTTATCTTAATTTAGCAGTTTAGAATGCCAACCGAGCGTGGAAGTAAAACAATAATTTTTCACACTATTTTCATAGATCCTTGTCAAAATAGGATAGCGCCTCAGGAAGCCGGAAGTCCGAGCAGCTGGGCTAAAACTGGCCCCGGAGCGTTTAATTTCCATGGAGCTGCACATAAATTTTCCAGCTGTTGGCTGTAATTTCTGGCCATAGAATTGTGATACGAACGCAACTCCGCAAACCTTTTTTGTGGGAGTAAACAAGGCAACCAAAAGTTGCAGCTTAGAACTCGCTTTCGATGCGAATTTATGGCCATTGCCCTTACCTTCGGCCAGACTTTATTTTCTTTTCTCTACTCGGTTTTTTTTTTGGTTTTTTTGTGGGTGTAATTTATTTGAAGGGCGGCCAAAAACAAACACGTTAATTTCGCAAATTAGTAGCATGTGTTGTTCCCCTTACCGGGGCTTAATTAGTTTAAAAGGCTCGACCGGGCGGATCGATAAGTCCAACAGTTGAGAGTTGTCTGAGTTGGTGGGCCATAACTTAGCTATACTTTTGCACTTGTCAGCGTCCACGGACGACGGAGATGAATTGGAGCGGCGTTTTGCCAAGAACGGGGCACTAGATGTAGTGGCCCTTGGCTCGTGGATCTCCATAAATTCCGATTCAAAAGGCTCCGGCTGCCAAAACTATTACTCACACTCCTTCGCCACCGGCGACGGACGGATAATTCAAATTGTCCATTACGCGCAGCTGCCGCTCGATTTGAGTCCTTTGGCAATTGGCCGGGCACGAGTCCTGCCAAGTTTTCAGTTTTCCCCGCTTTTGTTTGTCTTCATAAATTTTCCTTTCGAAGCGAATTTCAACCGAATTTAAGTCAGTCTGCCCGCGGATCCCAGGGAATTCGGTGGCTAATTGCGAATCAACAGAACCTCGATTGAAAAAAAAAAAAATAGGAAGAGTCAGTGCCAATCAATAAAAACAATTGAAAACCAATCAGAGTTTAATTACCGCAACAAAACGCTGATGAGACGTCGACAGTAAACAGAAAATCCCGCACAAGGAGCGAAATCACCAAACCATAAATCAATAGCAAACAAAAACGCTCCTCGACGGGGCGAGCGTTATATATCCTGGGGCCCCAGGAGCAATGAGTATGGAGCATGGAGCATATGAGGCGCAACCAAGTAGACCGCAGAATAAAGGCAACAATAAAAGCTGGCAATTGGACGAACTGGCAAAAGGAGTGTGGGGCGTACGAGGATGCCCATAAACAAAGAAGTAAACAAGCGCCAAGTACAATACACATGCTCAAACATGCAGGCACAGCATACTATATATGTTTGTATCTTTCTCGGTACATAAAAATGTCTCCTTGGGTGGACTTCCGCCGGAAATGGAGTGCAGAACGAGCGGCACTTGTCTGCTGATATCAGCAGCAATAGACGAGCGCATAAAAGCCTGCTAACCAGCTCAAAGGCATCATCATTACGAGCTTGACACGAATATAAAATAAATAAATAAACAAATGATGTGGGAGCTGAATTCGATTTAGCAATTGGTTTTCTAGATTTTTATACAAAATCATTAAAACCTAAAAAAATCCAGGAAAAATAGAAAAATAAATAATTTGAAAGTCTTATTTTGCATTATGAATAATGAAATATTTTCATTTCTTATGCTTAAATCTTAAGCTTTCAAACTTTTTTTTAAATTAAAATAAAAAATATTGCATAGAAGTTACTTTGTTTCCTGAAATAGAACACCAAATTGGCATCACTGATAATATGTACCAGCAGTTGCATTTCCCAAGCATTGATTAAATATTACTAAATTAGGTTCTTAAATCTGACCACTGAAAGCCTACCAGTTTAATTCGTTGGCAAGTCGGTTGCAGTCGAAAGCAGGATGCAGTTCCATAGCTATACGAAGTATATAGACCGAGCTTGCTTTATGGCATGCATTCCCCGATATCAGTGGTCAGGGCGTCCCACAGAAAGAAAACCCTACTCCTTGGAGAAAAAAACCATGTTCGTACTCGGTGTGATTTGTTCAATTTACCAAATTTTTGGAGTATTTATGTATTGGTATCGCTACGGACGGTTGGCCACGGATACGGTTACCTTTGTTACGGAAATTTCGGAAATGTGCGGTTCACTTATGCTAACCTTGGTGGGATCTTCGAATATCTATGCACTCACGAAGCACCGCCGTCGAATCGAAAGGATATTCGAGGACTTGCAGGAACTGTATCCCAGGGAAAACGACAAGCACTATCGCAATCAGTATTATTACGACAAGGCCATGCGAATAATGAAAATTGAGTTCATATTGTACATGGTATTCTACGTGTACTATAATAGTGCACCGATTTTGTTGCTCCTTTGGGAAAACCTGCAGGATGAAGAGGAACTGAGCTTCAGGACGCAGACTAACACCTGGTTTCCCTGGAAAGTTCATGGCTCAGCGATTGGTTTTGGCGTGGCTGTAATTAGCATTGCCATGGCCTCGTTTGTTGGCGTAGGCTTTAGTTTAGCCACCCACGACTTGGTTTGCATATTTACTTGCCAACTGAAAATGCACTACGATGGCATGGCCAATAAACTACTGCATCTGGATTCCAGTCAACCTGGAGCTGTTCAACAGTTGAAGCAGCTGATCGCCTACCATTATCGTATTCTACAGATCGGAGACCATGTAAACTATATCTTGAACTTCATATTTGGTAGTAGCCTAGTTGGTTCCACAATTGCCATTTGCATGACGAGCGTGGCTGTTCTGCTACTCGATTTCGCATCTGCCTTGAAGTACATCAGCGGTCTGGTTGCATTTCTGCTCTACAACTTCATTATGTGCTATATGGGCACTGAGGTCACCACTGCAGTAAGTATGGGAATTTCGGGATCATTTATTTATTACCTTAAGTCATTTTTGGATTGTGACATTACATAGTACTAAGCCGAACAACTGTCTGTTCTCAGAAGCGCTAATTGAGCTGCTTAAAAATGACTCAATTAGGACTGCAGGATAGGGTATAAAAGTCCTGGTACTGCGTTTCCATACCACAGTTACAGTTTAGTGCAGAATGCAGTTGCAAGACTATTTAAAGTATATGGACATTTCCTGTTGGTTGGGTTTCACTGCCCGCTTTCAGTGGATTGGTGGACGAATGGAAGGAGATCCGCAAAGTTTGGCCAGAAGAATCAGCTTCTTTCTTGCAGCCGGAAGTATGCTCTATCAGAACTTCGGAATAATTACGTATTGGTACATGTTTGGCCTAACCGAAAAGGATGCCATAAAATTTGTTGCAGAATTAGCGGAAACATGCGGTTCACTTATGCTAACACTAATTGCAATAACCAACATATGGACAATGACTCGGAACAGACTTCGAGTTGAGGAAGCTTTTGCCGAGATTCAGGCGATGAGTCCGAGGTCAGAAGATAATCAATACCGGAGACAGCATTACTACGATACAGCGATGATTACAATGAAGTGGATGTTTAGGTTCTACGCAGTCTTTTATTTTTACTATAACGGGGAACCGCTTCTATTGCTCCTGTGGCAGTATTCGATAAAGAAGGACATAAGCTACAGCATGCAAGCTAATACTTGGTTTCCTTGGAGGGTTCAAGGTTCTGGAATCGGATTCGGGATAGCCTACCTAAGTGAAGCACTGGGATCCTTTCTGGGCGTTTGCTACACCTTGATTGTTCTAAATGCACTCTGCATATTCACTTGCCAACTGAGATTTCATTTCGACGCCTTGACCACTCAGCTTCTCTCACTAGACTGCCGGAGTCCTGGGTCCAAACAGAAATTAAGGAATTTAATTGCCTATCATTGTCGCATCCTCAGACTTGGGGAGCAGTTCAACCAGATCTTGAATCCCATATTTCTGAGCAGCGTAGTTTTCTCCACTATCGCACTTTGTATGTCAAGTTTGGCTGTGCTGCTTCTGGATTTGGCATCTGCTATGAAGTACATCAATGGTATAATAGCCTTCATTTTTTACAATTTCTATATCTCTTACCTTGGCACTCAAATCACTATTGAGGTAAGTTAAATAAAGATGTTTAAGTTAGGCTTTGACAGAGCAAAGACCCAAGATACGACCCAAAAAAAATTATATTCTCGCATATTTTAAGATTAAAATTTTTTTTTTTTTTTTAAAAACAAACTCGACCGAATTAGCCTTGAAAAATTGTTCCCCATCATGCATTAAAAATTACAAGACTTAAAAAAATAGCTTATAGCCCAACTGAACCAGTTGCTGGTTCTCATCGTGGATTATCCAGCCAATTACGGAATTCAATAATAAATGATGACCAGATGCAGCTGAAGGACTTTATTGGTCAATCAGCCAGGCATCTTTTAATAGTTTTTACATTGAAAGAATCTTAAAACCATTATACAATAGAAATTGTTTTCAACAATGCTTTCAAAGTTCCAAATAATTATATGGTTAATATTTTCATAAATGCGACTTAAACTAACATTTAAAAATAACCTTCTCCGCTTGCGAGGTAACATACATTTATAACTACCATGACTATTCAATTACGGCAGTTGCATGTTCCTGGGGCATTATTGGCAAATAACCTGCCTAATTTTCGCGAAATTACTTTTTACGAAATTGTGGTCCAGAAAAGAGTGCAATATCAGGAAGTCGTCCGTTTTGTTATTGCAGTTTTCTATACTGTAAAAAAATAGATATAACGTTTTATGTTTCTTTTTTCAGAGTTTCAAAATTTTACCAGCTGCTTTCTATAGCAACTGGTATGAAGGAGATCCGGCTTATAGGAAAATGATTCTCATCTTGATGATCCGAGCCTCGAAGCCTTACATGTGGAAAACCTATAACCTTTCATCTGTATCTATAACCACCTATATGGATGTAAGTTTTTTCATAATTTTTACTGTTATTTATTTTTAAGTTTTGTAATAATTTCTTTCCTTACAGACGTTGAAGTTTTCATATCAAATGTTTACTTGCATGCGGTCCCTAAAATAAAAAGAAGACCAAAATGGAAAGAATTATGAAGAATATCAACAATAAATAGAGTTTATAGATTTCCTATCACATATGTTACCCTTTGCAAAATCAATTTGAAAATTAATTGTAGAAAATAACCTATATGAGTTATTAAAAACTAATATTTAAAATTTTTTTCTTTGAAATTCCATTTCAAAAAAAAAAAAAAAAACACAACTTTTTTTTGGTGCTTTAACCCGCAATGCATACTAAATACAATATTAAACTGGAAAAATGTATTTTGCGCCTAAGGCAAATTAAAAATTCCTTAAATATCTGAGAAACCCCAAAGAGTTGACCCAGTCATTTTTTTTTTGGCACAACAATGCAAAACAAAGGAAGACCCTGAAGAACGCAATTTAAGACCCCATGAAAGACAAAAACTTCGGGGTACTCGTATACGAAATGGAGGAATATTTGAAAGGAAGCCAACTGAGTGCCTGCTTGAGTGCTTTTCTGGCTGGAACTAAGCTAACTTATTAAAGCCAGACAAAGGTTGTTGGGGCGCCCCGGTTGCGGGGAGCTTTCAACTTTTCATTTCGGAGATGCAGGAGCGTAAAATTAAGTTCTTTGCAGAAATTGGCGGAATTATGTACAAGTCACCTGGCAAGTCCCTTCGTCCATCGTCCGTCATATGCTGGGTGTCTGGGTGTTTGGGTGTCTGTGATGGGTGTGATTATCACGTCGTTATCCTGGATCAGTGGCAGCAGCATTGCCACCGTGTCCTCTCGACACACCTCCCCATCATCAACATCTTGCCCGGGACCCTTGTCCTTGTTTTATATAATAACATTTTAATTCCCTTAATACACGCTACGCTGCCACCAAAGCCAAACAAACTGAATGCCCGCCCAGGCGTTGTTTCACTGCTGCCTGTTTTTTGGCTCTCAAGTTGGCCAAGAACACTGCTGTTGCTGTTTTTTTCCTCGGTTAGTTCGTTTGTGCGTGCAAATCATTAATCATGAGCAGCGCATATTTATTGTTCTGCTTTCGATGACAGCTTTTTGCTGACCATGGATTTTGCACGTTCCATTTAATGCCGCTTCTTGCCTCTTTTAAAGATTTAATATTTAAAATGGGGAGCAAAACAAAGCTTAGTATCTGAAAAGAATTTAAAATACAGCAGAAAAGTGATTCTTTACCTTAATTTTTATAGGAAAGGGTAAGCATCTTAAGCATCTATTCGTAACCTTCAATTTTAAACTAAGAACATTGGCCCTAATTCTCGTGTCAATGATTAAATGGGCTAATTGCAAGCGGACATCGTAGCTGAGCTAAGCCTTTCCAGCTGACAGCTCACAAAAGCACGTTTGGCAGTTAATTGAGTCATCAGCTTAGACAACAGCCGGGGTGGCCATATGAAAAAGATTGTGAATTGCCCAATCATGTGGAAGTGACTACCGAGACCTTTAAAGTACACACATCCCTAGTACAATGGCCAAAGGAATAGAGGAATCGACCAACCAACCACCCACACAGAATCGACAGTCTGAATAAAAATTGGCCAGGCCGAAAGGAGGATGGCTCCAGCTGCAGGATCATCATTGCAGGCATTTGCTCCTTGTTTACCCAGGACTCGTTTCCCCCAGTCCAAGTGCTGACCATAGCCTTGATAAGTTTTTAGCAAACAAAGGCGGCTCGTTACAGCAACATGGGTCTTGGGAATTGGTTTGGGTGAAACCAAAACAAACCGAACCGGGCCAAACTAAGCTGAGCTGCGATGTGCATTTAAAATTGCATACACAAAACACGAAAATTCCCACAGCCCGGCTGCCAGAGTCAAAACCACAAAATGTACTCAAACAACATGTCTCAATTTCCTAGTTAAACTGGGTGCCTCGTTTCGAGGGTAGGGAAAAAAGGGAACCTGGTCTTGGCCAAGTTCCCCTAAATGCTAATTGAAAATCTTATGTAAGATTGGTGGGGGCAGCGATATTGTGGTCCACAGATACGGTAGGACATAATTGGCTTTGGTTAGGAAGCGTTTAAAACTTATAGACTAGATTGCAGCAATCTTGTGTTGAGGCTATTTTCGGGAAATGCTTCGTTGAATTTTAAACTGGGGGGCAATAAACGTTTTGGTTTCAAATGGGAAAACTTTACTGAGGAGTTTACAAAGGTTCTTGAATTTTGGTTGTTATTTTAATCTTTAACTTTCAGTTCCTAAAACCATGCACCATAAATTCGTTTTCAATATGATATTACCCCTCTAAAGTGAACCACTTTCAAAAGCTAGTCCGTTGTCCATCAATTACTTAGCCTTATCTGCTGAGGCCATATGGTGTCACCCCAACTTGCGGCGAAGAGGGCGCAAAAAATGTAATAACAAGGAGATGGCGAAATTTTTACACACAATTTAGACACATTTCCGCACGTAGCCAACCAAGGCTAAGCTCCATGTGCTCTATAACGACAGGCTGGAAAACAAAAGCTTGTGCCACGCAAAGAGAAAAAACCGCCACTCCGGAAAACGCCAAAGAAAATCCGACTGAGGGAAAATAATGTTGGTCGACAAAATTGGAAAAAAATATAACGTACAAACATAAGACTCCCTTTCTTTAATGTTTATGGATTTGATTTAAAATTCTATAATATTTCATTAAATTGTATTTAACAACAACTGAATAATTATTTTTTTTAAAGATTGCTAATTTAAAATATTATTTATTAAAGTGTATCACGAATTCTGTATTAAGTCATAAAATTTGAGATAATGGGATGGTTTCCTTTCAGGCGCGTCCAACTTGAAACGAACGCCACCATTTGCCCCTAAAAAAATCTGTTAGCATTTGTGTCTATTAAGCCTAAGCAATAAACTTTATAAATTCCACAAATTAGAATGATTAAATTTCATGTCCATGTAATTTCTAGCCAGCAGACGTGCCCTCAGCTTTTGGTAATCAAATTGTTCACTGCCTGCCGACTAAATTAATGGAAAGTGATTTGGAGAAAGGCTAGGTCGACACCTTTGATCTGCTGGCTAAACGCCAATACGACGGCCTGTCATCGGTGGGCTTTATTTAGCAATTGAATAATGCTTTTCAATTTATCTTGACAGGGTAATCAGGTTCGAAAACACATCACTTTCACGACACATACGGTATATATTGGTTAAGTGCATCTTGTTAAAAAATTTTGAAACGTATGTGTAATATATGATAAAAGATAAGCCACTTAAGAATACTTCTTAAGTATATTATTCCCTTTATTGCGAATATATTTACGGCTTTATTCGCATCTTCATAATTATCCTGGCTTAAACGCTTTTATATATACGTGTGCAATGTTTACTGTTTTATCGAGTATGCCATGCTGCGGCAATCGTCGTTTGTTCGGAAGCGACACAAATTGGTCATATGATGTCCGGCGATAATTATTGCCAATTTATTGAATGCTCATTATTGAAATATCACTCATACGCCACAGAGGCATGCTAATAAACCCATTGAAACGAACGTTCGACGTCCGCAGCGAACTTTTAGGGTTGCAACCGCAACGCAGTTGCAACGTTTGCATGTGTACGAGTGATAAATGTTGATGTACACAGCTTTCGTCGTAATAATAGAGCTACTTACTATAAGTTGATCAATATTAAATTAAACCTAATTAAATTTATATAATTTATGTTAATTTAAAATTAAAAAAAAAATTCATTTTAAATCTTTTGACCTTAAAAATTAGGTTTACATTCATTCTTATAAAAAAAATGAATAAAACGTATTACACTTGACATTTATTATATTGTTGTTAAACATTAACCGAAATTTAAAATTTACCCAACTCTGAATCACTTAAATTAAACAATAAGAATTGTTTTTATCTGATAATAGTTATTATTGAATGTGCATCTATTTTGACCTAATCGTAAATAGTGCTGTATCAGAAGTGAGTGTCAGGTCGTGTCTATGTTGCTGCGGCAGAATGACCACGCAATCACGATGACGATGCCACCTATTTCCAATTACCGATGATGCTGAGCGAGCAGCAACGACACATCGACCCGCGGACTCATCAGCCCACCAACCCAGAAACCCACCGACCCGGCCATGATTGATTGCAACAAAACCAGATTTTGGTTACTGTCATTTAAGCGCCGACTAACTTTCGAGTTGGCCGGGCCAAAAAATAAAACATTTATCCTTGCTCTCGACAAACGCCGTATGTTAAATGCAGGGGATAATTTTAATTGCGCCTCGGCTGCATTTTTAATTAAACGCAAAATTAAAAATTGATTGCTTTTTGACGCCATAACTTACATGGCGATAATACCCCAATACCACGATCCCCGACCGAGAAAGTCGGCTTTAGTATCTGTGTGGCACACTTTCAGGGCATTTAATATTATAAAATTTAAATCGTGAAGAGCCTCACAAAAAGGAATGCTAGTGGGTATATAAAATTTGCATTTGCGTGGCACATGCAATGTGCGGATAAAGTTTGGCTATTTCGGGCTAGTTGTGTACTTTTTTTGAGTCCTGCCAGCCGGAAGTAAAAGGTTTTAAGCGGAAGTGCGCAGAGTTGCAGCGACATATTGTGTTTTCGTGTGTGTTGGCGTATGTGTGTGTTTAATTATATGCCGGGGCTTGCTAAATGTTGCGGAGACATGCAAAGCGGCTCTTAGCCAGCTGCTAGTTTGTTTTCTGAACGAGGTTAAATAAGGTTTACGAAAATATTTGAAACTCTTTCAGTTTCTCAACATTTAATAAACATCGTTCAGGTTGCAAGAATGGAATCCTGTGTACTCAGGTAATAAAAATAAATACTCGTATTTTCTGCATTGTGTGCGAGATTTTTATTTCAATTTAAGATTGATTGCCTTTGAATCGATGATTAAATTAAGCATGCAAGAATGCTGATTTACATTAAGGTTTTGTTGTTCGAATGACTTGCAATTATTACTACCCATTGAATGACCATCAGCATTTAAATGCACCAACTCACCAAGCGACCGTTTTTGTATTTAATTAATGCAAATTTAATATGGCAAATTAATGAATTCAGACCGACCAGCAACCGCACGGCAGCATTTAGCGAGGGCGAATAAATGCGGGGACATTGTCAATATGCCAACTGAATACACTTGATTAATTTGTAAGAATTCTTTAGTTCCATCAATATTAATGGCTTGAAAATAGCATTATTAAAATATTTATGGTTAAATATATGCGAATATGGGTAACCACTTAATCAATTCATTTTCAATTTGTGCTGTCATTGTTGTCTTACAACCCCATAGTTTCATTTGAATAATAAAGTTATTAACATCATATTAACATTATAATTATCCACTTAATCAAGTTTATTTATTGTATTCTCTTCTGCTAAAGGCAGTTTGCACATTCGATTAGCATCAATCATTCCTTTAAAACACTTTCAAATCTTCTTGATTTAAAACTTCTTTCCAATATTTTGTATATTTTAAGTATAAGTTTACTTTGTGTATGGATTATATAGACGCATTTAACCTAGACGTAGATGAGGAAAGTAAAGAGGATGAGACGCCATTCGAACCTGTTTTCCAGCTCGAAGCTTGGAAAGAGTTGATGCCACACGTTGGCTTCACCAACTGGAAGCAGTTTGCAAAGTGCCCGCTAAGTAAAAAATTGGAACTTGCCCTTGAGAAAAACGTCGGTCGCCATGCCCATTTGATAATTAACGATACAGTCTACAAGTGCAATGTTCTCGTGCTTCGCGTCTTCTGTGAGTTATTCGCAAATTGCCTTAAAATAAATCAAGTGGTCCAGTTTCCCAAGGATACGCTGACCAATGAGTCCTTTGAAGTGGCCTACGCCTGGATGACCGGCATTGACGAGGCATTATGTCCCAACGATGGCCAACAGTTGTTGGATGTGCTGAAAGCCGCAGAGATTCTCAGGTGTCCCCTGTTGTGCAAAAGCGTCTTCGAGGCCCTAAACGATTATAACAACTTCTTCGAGTTGACAGCCTTCGATTGCTTTGTGGCTGCCATATCCAGGGGCTTTTTCCAAGTTGCCCACATGATGCTGCGACGGGTGGGCAAGTGCTTCCTGGTCGTGGTGGGCAGCTATCAGTTTCAGGAGATGCATGCCAACTTCCTATGCAATCTTCTTGGCTCCAATACCTTGGCTGTGCAGTCAGAGATTGAGGTAAGTCAGCCTTGTCATTATAAATAATGAAGAACACCAGAAGAAAGATAAACGATTTTTCAATTTATTTTATAATTTTTTTTCATGATAGCTGATAGTTGTTTTTTAAAGCTGTTTTATATATAAATATAAAATTTAGTTTTTCAAGTATTTTATTCACTATAAAATGTTTTTAACAGAATAGGACTTTATAAACATTAACATTTAGCTTATTCAGCAAATTCGGTGTGCTCTACAGATTTATTACTCAGCTCTGCTCTGGCTATCCACAGACTTTCGGAAGAAAATGAAGCATACTGCTCGTATCTTAGAGAAGGTTAGGTTCCATATGATGCCACCCGCATTTCTGCTTCATTGCGCCGACACTCTCGAAGACATGGAGCCAGAACTCGCTGATATGGTTTGTGCCTATCTCGATAGGGCAATCCAGACCCAACACGAAACACATATGGGGTTCTCTGGGTCAGAGAAAAATACGATGGACACCCGCGTGTGGATACGGGATCCTAAATGTCCCTATGATTGGATTGTCGATAAGAACGGCGCCTGTATTCTTACTGTGGACAGGTTCCTCACGTATTTGGATGCAATCCAAGAGTCTAGAAAAACCTTTATGTATAGGATGAGAAAGGTCGTGCCCATTATTGACGAAAATACCATCACTAGCAAAAGACATAAAGATTTAATATACCAGCCATCGCGTAATATTTTCGATTATATATGCCCCGAATATATACAAACGCCAAGATCAGCAAAAAGTGTAAATTATGAGATATATGATATAAGCAACGATCCCGAGAGTGAGAGTAAGTTGACTTGGAGCTCTTCTGAAGATAGTGAAAAAGAAGATACAGAAAAGAATTCAGAAACGAATTTCATCGAGGAAGATTCCTCTGATTTCTATGAGGATTCTTTAAGTGGTTCGTCCTCGGAATCGTTTATGAATTCTTCTACGGATTCTTCTTCGGATTCTTCTACGAATTCCGATACGGACTCTGAAATGGTCTCTGATCAGAGTGAAGAGGCTGAGGACTCCACTACAAAGCTCGTAGAAGTTCCAGAATCTTCAACAGAATCCTGCACAGAATCCACGGAAAATGATACTGGCGAATCCAGCGAAGATCCTCCTACGGATACCACTGTATATGCAAAAAGCGAAAGTTCAAGTGGCAGCGTAACCGAAACAGATTTTTTCTAACAAAAGTATTTATTAAATAGTAAATAAAGTAGTAAATAACAATGTTTCATACCCTTTTATTAATAAAAGTAAGTAAAATGTTTCTTTTTAAACCAATGAAAGGGAGGAGATTGAATTAAGGTTCCCACTTTTCGAAAGCGAACATTCCTTTTTTTCGGATAAACGAGGAAGCACTTAAATTGGGCGTAACAAAATGTCTGACACGCCAATTATTTTACTTTTTATATAGGACAGACTGACACTCCGACTACTCCTGTTTGTTGCTGTAACTACTCCTTCGGATCCTGCGGGTGCTTCTGCTTTTACTGTTCTGCGTGTTAGTTTTTATATGTGGGTGTCTGTGGCTCTCGGGGTTGAGGGAAATTTTCTGCTGCTTGCTTTTTAAGTGGTTTTATTGTTCACTTGTTTGTACTGCTTGTTACAACTTCGTTACTTTATTTTCATTTGTACTTTCCTTTACATATTGGTTTAAAAGTCAGTGAGCCATGGCCAACAACGACGATGAGCTGCAATTTGCGATGCCAGATAGGTCAGCATGTTGAGAAGTTAGTTAGGGTTCAACTGAAGTATATAAATGATTGGCAATGCTTTAAAGGTAATACCAGCAAAACGAAATTGCACAAGGAAAAGTTTTTATGTGTACATTACATATTTGTTGAATTATATTTTATGGCCTCACATTTGGTTCATTACCTAATTACAATTAGAATAAATATGAAACTGAAAACTACACCGAGTTGTGGAAAAAAGTATGCCCCAAATATCCTTGTTTAGTTTTTGTTTTGTAATCCCAAAGTAGAGAATGCAAATTATTTGGAAACTTTTTAGACAAAGTTATATTTTCGTGTATGTAATGAAAGACAGGTTTTTATGGCAATGATTTGCTAATTACATTTTGTTTATTTGGTAATTGGAGAGCAGCTAAAGGTTAATTAGCGATGAGTAAAATAGTAAAAGCAATTATAAAAATATTTTCAGTATCCGCTCTACATTCTATATCAATCATAATAGCCCAATAAGTCATTTATAATTTGTTTTATGTAGTTAGTAAAATGATTTATGCAGCTCATCCTGTCAAATACAATACTCTAATAAAACTAATTGATATATTGCTGAAGAAAATTTCGGTGGTAATAATTTCCGTTATGACAAGTGCCAAAATATTGATAGTTATCAAGATCCGGTTGCGAAATTTCTTGAACTAAAGTTTATATTATGCTTGTAGATTAATAGTGATTTGATCTAGGCTTGAATTCACTGTTTTTGATTGAAGGTTTCCCAGCTTATTCTACTGATATATCTTTCTACTACTTTGAACCTTGCATGCTTAGGTAGAATAAACTAGTTCATATCATTAAGATCCTTCCACCTATGTGCTAGGAAATTTATACAAAAGCTGAGCTATTCATAAGCACAAAGGCCCTTAGACAAAATACGCTTTGCACTTGGGTTCATTCAGCACTTCTTGCCGCTTTTCCTTGCGTAGCTTTTCTTCTGCTTCACTGGCTAAATGCGCTTTTCCTGCTCACATGTTGCTCTTTTCGAGTTTGCTGTTAGTTTACTGCTGACATTTCATTAAGTTCGCCCCCGTTTGCCATTTGATTTCAATCAGGAAATGGAAGAGATTAAGGATGAGTCTGGGGCCAATGACCCACATTCTCGTAGATACAAATTTTGTGCCACTTTGTCGGACTTCCTAATTAGACACCATCGCACCAAAGTTTCGGAAACAAATTAGCACACTGGTATTTTGAATTAAAAGCAACGCCAATCGAAGGGCAACGCAGTTAATCACTGAACCGAGTGGAGTGGTATCGATTCAGTACTCTTGGTTGTCAGGGAGCACCCAGGAGTCGCTTTCGGCACTGAAATTGGAGCCTGCGGTTCGACTAGAGCCCAAAGCAACGAGCCTTTTTGTCAGCGAACAATAGTAGTACCGATAAATAGGAAATTTGCACTGAATTTGCACGCACGGCTTAATTGTTGGCCATGTTGTTAGGGCTCCGATGGCAGATTAAATCGGCTGTAACGCAGAACACAACAGGACCAAGGGGAAATGCGCTGGATATGTGACAAGGCCCACTGCCAAATGAACCCGGGCCATGGCACTTCACTCTGTGCGAGCCAATTGAGCCCTGACCGCTGGCAATTCACAATTTGCCAGCGCATTTTGGCGTAAATTTTCCAATTTTAACATTTCATTTGCCAAATTTTATGGCATAACACTTTGCCATTGTTCCCGTCGCGGCATCTACTTACCTGCAATTCATTAACATACTTTAATATCAGCCATATTTTAATTGCTACAAAGATTTTTAATTGTCATTGAATTAAAATAGCTGTTCATATTTGGCCTTTTGTTTGAAAATATTTTAGTAAGTAGCCACTTTGCATATTTGTTGAAAATATTTAACAGTGCAAAATGGTTAGATTTTTTTTTAAGCCCATCAACTTAAAGAGAACAAAATTTTAAATAAATCAATTTATGAAATCTTCTTTTCCGAAAATATTAATATTAATATTAAAAACAATTTCATTAAAACCCGCCAGGTTACCAATTACAAGCTTAAGTTTTTTTGTAATTTTTATATTCTTAAACTAAGACTTTAACAAATAAAGTTTATCTAAATTAAAAATATTAGACTTGAACATTTGACTAACTCCAAACAAATTGTGTCATTAACCTCGGGGTTCAATAAACTGAAAACTTAGATCTCCGGTCCCTCGTTTAGTCCTTTACAATGCAAACGCGGAAATGCCGACAGAAGCTGGCTGGATGATTAAAATATAATTCATATGCCAGTCCAAAGTTGGGGAACATTTCCGCCGTTGTAAAAAATTCCGTCCCCCTACCCACATAATGAACGCATACATATTCATAACGCGCACGCAGACACGCACACACACTCAAACTGTAACTGTGTGTGTGTGTGTGTGACCCACAGGTGTGTGCGTGTGTGTTCGTGCGAAAATATTACGACAGGCCTGTCTTCCTGCATGTGACATAAATCTTGGGCAAATAAATAAAATCCAAAAAAAAAGCGCCAGAGCAAAATGAAAGATAGAGCGAAGACAGTAAAAGCAAATGAAAACGCACGCGCAGCAGTAAATTTTCAGTGGCACGAAAACGGGGAGCGTTGGGAAGGTGAAATCGGGGGGTTAAGGTGTTGGGGCAGGTGGGACATCATGAACACCTAGACGTGCCGACAATTTTTGCATTTAAATGCGAGCAATTTGCCGGCGCCAGCTGAAAGCAGAAGCAAATGAACGTCAACGCAAGTGAAAAAAAACTGTTGCCTACTTTCCGGGGACATCGAGAAGAAAATGGCGTTAAACGGATGTGAATCATGTGCGGAACTCCATGGCAGAAAAAAAAAAATAAACTGACAAAAAAATATACGAACGAGCCAAGGAAAAGTAAAACAGTCGAGTGGCGGAAGCACAAAATGAAAATGATAATAACAATGCGGTGGCAGGCGTCTTCAATTATTGAAAATGGCGCGATTTGCATGGTAAGCGTTTCATTTGACAGCGGAAGTTCATTAGCGCCATCTGGCGGTGAGGATGCCTCTGTGAGGGCGAGAGTGTGTGTAAATTGCATTTTCCGAGTATCTGCAACACTTAATTAGAAACCGCAAGTGAAAGAAGAAGCAGAAAGAGTGCAAAATTGATTGTGGCTGCGGTCAGTTCGGAACGCTTCGAGGGGTATGATAGTACTTTGTGGCATTAACTCGTGATTAAAATGACACGATTGAAATACCAATTTTAAAATTAGCTTAAAACAGAGTTAAACTATGCTTAAAGCTTTAAAAAAGCTACATCCTTATTATTAACATATATATTTATAATAAGCAGGTAGAAGAAACCAGGAATAAACTAAAATTAGAAAATTTTTTATTTTAATGGTTAAATTTATCTGAGCGAAAGTTTAATTTCTTAGCCATGAAAAAGGAAAATATACTAATACCGCTATTATCTAACAATGAGAATCTTTCAAGTCCAAACTGTAGAACACTTGCCAAATTTGCGAACAGATAAAAGGATTCAGCGCTACTTCATTCAACATTAATTACATCCGCGGTTATTCAGAGTGGATTGGTCAGTGGATTTTTTCGTGCACGATTCGATTTCGCCTCTTCATCTCCATCGCAAGTCGAAGTTGAGTTTATTTTTCATTCCGTCCGTGAGCAGTTAAATCACCGCCAAGGCCACTTGGATGCGAGTCCCACTGCTGTTGCGAATGTGGCTGTGGCAGGCGTTCATCATCCGCATCATTATCGGGCTTTCCACATTTGGCAAGCCGCCGAAAGACAGAGGACCCGGTGGAAAAAAGTGGCACGTGAAAAATCCCCTCGGCTGCCAAATGCAGCGGTTGCCTTTGCTCCAATTGAATAATTCGTATGATAAACGAGTGTATTTGCAGATGTGAGTTGTGTGCATTTTATACCCCCTCAGACATTTCAACATCACTTTTTGCTCTACACTCCTGTGTGGATTATCCTTTCGGCAGGTTTTAATGTCTCTATCAAAATTTTTTTCTGCGCATAATTTTTCGGTCGCGTTTCATTTCGCTTATTTGTGGGTTTTTGTTTTTTGTTTGTTATGCAAACGCCACGGGTTGTTTGTGACACCTCAACGATATTGTTTGCCCCAAAAATGTTAGCTTTTTGTAAAAGGCAAGCCAACAGTTTTGCATTCATAGTTGGTCAGTGAATGAAATGATGTGATTTATGGTACTACAAACAAAGTGCTCTGCAAAATAAACGCATCATTTTGGTATTTATTGTTTGGACTATTTCTGGAATTTTACTCCAAATATTATTTTAATAGATTAGGACCACAAAGTTAACAAAACATACTGTGTTTGCAGCCTTTTATAATCTAAGCTTATTAAGATCTTAGTTGTATAGGACCGAAAAACTCTAATTGATTACCGGTGGATGGATAAAGTTTCACCATTTTAATAACAGTACTCGCTTTCATAATTAGGTATTCTGCCCATCAGTTCAAGGGATCAGCCCTCAATTTGGCTTCATCTCCAT